ATTTAATGAGGAAACAAGGGTGACATATCAAAAAGAGGTGTACCATAGGATAAGTGTTGCATATCAAGGAGATGTGTAATTTGGATAAGAGTGGCAATTGTAAGATGTGTTACTATTATAGCTCTTGTTATCACACCCATAAGATGCGATAATTGTGAGTTAACATTTCATTGTGACATGAAGACTTGGAATGATTTCTCTTATTGAAATGATAACAACTATGTTATTAAGAAGAGAAAAATGGCTTATAGCCAGATGCATTAATTGCCCGTGATTTCAGATAAACCAATGTTTTTTGCGATTTCAGACATTATGATTTATAATTGATTAAAAGAATAAGTGTTTGATAAGACCCAGAAGGGCTCAGGTTGGTCTTTAGGACTAACAAGAGGGCCTCTGGTCGTGTGGAAAATCTTTTAAGTATTTTAGAACTTACTTTGACCCAGAGGCTCTATATTATGAAGTTAATGTGTCCGAGCTCTGTGTCTAAGCTCTGCGTCCGAGCTCTATCTTTTAAATTTCAACCTTGTACTATATTTATAATTTGACCTTTTTAAATATCTTTTACAAATATAGCAGAAGAGCCTCACAGTGAGGCTCTGGTTATATCAAAATCTTATTTATTATTTTCTTTTCTTCAGTTTTGGTCTAGACGAACCAGAGGTTCTGGTCATTCAGAGGGCCTCTGGTTGGTCCTGCATTCTTACTTATTTGTGAAAGTTGGAGACCATAAGCTCTGGTTGGTAAGGAAAGAGGCTCTGGTTGACCAGAGGGGCTTTTGTTGGCTTAACCCTGGATTTTCTTTATACTAAAGTTGAGTGACTAGAGGAGCTTTGGTTGATTATTTTTACGTGTTTATATTATTTTAAAGAATGATCTTGATTTCATGATTAAAGTCTTCAATAACTTTCTTTGTTTGGTTTTGCTTTGATTTAAGAGTCAGAGGAGCTCTGGTCCTTAAGAGCCAGAGAAACTCTGGATATACGCGCATAGTATGAGGCGAGGATTTTGAAACTCGCACAAAATGATGCGATGACCTGAGTGATTTTATGTTATGGGTGGTGAGGCAGATTTGCAACTCCTATTGAATTGTGGTGTTTGAGTTTTAATTTATAAAAATTGAAATATATATATATATATATATATATATATATTTGTATGTTTGCAAAGCTGGTTTTTATTTCAACTTTTGGTGATTTATCATCCTGTAATTACAAAGAAAGAGGATTTCTCATTACACCTCAAGGTCTAACTCTCATTTTATGTTTTAAAAATATGAATTGTAGGTTCGGCTATGTCCGGGGATAAGAGGAAGGGGAAAATGTGATTATTTTCCTATTTTGTTTAACTGCTCTATGAAGATCAACATGTTATCTAATGAATTTTTGGAATGCTTGTTAATTATACAAGTGATGTACAAGAATATTATTTTGGAATTTTTGGGTTGTAAGTTCTGTAATATAGTTTCTTGTACTAGTGGGACCGAAGTTGTATTATTGTATTTCTTTATAGATAAAATGCATGTTTATATGCAAATATGGAAAGTGGAATGTTACATTTTTCATATAAAATTTATTGTAATTAATATATATATATATATATATATATATATTTTTTTTTTTTGAAACTTCATTATAATAATTTTGATTTAAAAAGGAGATGGTCTTTAATTCAATTTAAATCATAAAATTTCAATAAGAGATAAAAAGGAAAGAGATTTAGGGGTCGTTTATCTAAATATTTACCCAGTAAACGCTTAACGGTAAAATTTAACTTTATCCTTTATTTATCGGGTAAGATTTTAGTCTATCAAAACGACATCATATGTAACAATTTACCCGATAAGCGCTAACCATGGTAAGATTCATCGTCATCACTTAGCGGGTAAGAGTCTTAGTCCTTGTCTTCGGTTTAACATGTAAGATTTTTGGTCCTTGTCATGTTGATCCAGTAAGGGAATATCACTTGGTAAACGCTTACCCGAGTTTTGGGGCTGTTTACCAAATTTTTTATTAAGTCCTGTATGGATAAATTTGTCTGTCCGGATAAATTTGTCTGTCTAGATAAATGGGTGTTGTTGTTTACTTTTTTTTATCTGAACCGACAGTCTGAATAACATAAATGACTGATTTACCCCCAATATTAATTATTTGAACATCAAGACAAAAAATATAAAGAGGCTGAAGATGGGGTGTCTCATCGGGGAAGGAGGCGGTGCTTTAAATAAGGGTTAGGGTGTCATTTTTGTGGCTGAATGGAGACAACACACCATTTCTATCTGTGCGATTAAACCATGTTTTGTGCGAATAAGCTGTAAGTAAACAATCCAAATGAGTTGTGTGAATAAGTCGGGTAGACCAATAAGCCTAATTAAGTTGCAAGTAAACAACCCTTAAACATTTGATAAAAGGCCCCTTACTTTTTATACTCTTTGAAGAGTAATGTTTGTATGTGAATGACCTCATATATATATATATATATATATATATATATATATAGAGAGAGAGAGAGAGAGGGAAGATCAAATGTTAACCAACAATTTTGTGTTAACTTTGAAAACCCTCTCAACCAATCAAATTCATTCATTATTGTAGATTGATGTCTTGTTCACTTTTTACTTCCAAGGGTATTTTAGTAAT